GGGCTTCGTGGCACGGCTTCATGTCCGCCTTTCCTGCCTGTCGCCGGGAGAGGACCCGCAACGCTCTGAAGGCCCCGACTTCTTACGGTGTGAAAACGACCCCGCATCACCGACCTCACAGGCCGTAACGAGGATGAAGGAAGAAGAGACAACAGAAGTGCCTGACACAGGGTAAAAGCTCAGTGTGTGTTAGTTACCCACGCGCAGTTTGGGGTTCTTTTTTTGCACTTAAAAAAAATTCTTTTTAGTAAGAAAGATGTGAATAGTGACTATTCCTTTATAAGACTTTAGGTTTAAGGCTCACAGTGCCAAGCATTTCCCTCCCACAAACCGGGAAAGCACACGGCAGCGATGCACTAACCCCGCAGGTCGGTTTCGGCCGAGCTGACCGTCCGGGCCCGGCAGCCGACAGGGGGTCACAGCAGAAGTCACCAGGGTTGGAGGCCCCTGCGACAGACTCGTGCGCTCATCGCCTCAGCTGCTTCATCCCTACAGGACTTACCCACCTACGGAGAAGGCGAAACGCCCAGGTCTGGGCACACCCGACGAGCTGGCGTCTCCCCGTACGACGTCAAAATGCGGTGCTGACAACAAACACCCGTTTGGTCCAGTTTATTGGCTCGCCAGGGGCAAACTGTGCATTTCGGAATTAATGTATTAAACCCACAGAGTTCCTCAGCCACACAAATATTGACATGATGTAGCATCACAATATGCTCTCAATAACAGCTTTTACATCGCTAAGGAGTTTTGCCAGAAAAGCAGAGATTTATGCCAAAAATTAGCTCCCACGGTTGTCTGCCAACCTTGGCCGGTGTTTTGTATGCGGCGACAAAGCTGCCGCAGCATCATCTATGCAGCGAAGCGGACGGACAATAGAGCCACGGGCCTACGCTTCAAATGCTCGCAGCCCTTTGTCGTCGTGAACGTGTACGTGGGGTAAGAGAGCGTGTGGGGGTGTTTGTGGAGATTATCGCGTGTCCCCTTTCTCCGGCACAGTGAGGTCACGGGAAAGCCGACGGCGAGTCTGAGGGCCCTTCCAGGAGGCCCTTCATTGTGGAAAAATACCTGCAATGAGGCTCTAGGAAAAATCACAGCAAACATATCGATTCACAGACGGGGCTTTGTAATCGTTCACCCTCGGGAGCTGATCTCATTCTAGCTGTGGCCACACGACCCTCAGCCTCGGCTTCCTTAACGGGAGAAGCAGTGTCAGCACCTGGCAGACAGAGGGTTAAACAAGAGAACGCATGTTCCACGCTGAGCACTGTGCCCGGCTCATCACAAGAGTCTGATGTGCACCTGCACTTCTATAGAATTACTCCTTTGGTAGATTTTGCTGTTTTTGATGCATTTACATTTTAGGGAGCTCCCCTCCCCCAAGGGGAATGAGTTTTACTCATAATTCTGCTCTAGTGTTGAGCAATATCCATGAGAGCTAATAATTAGCATATCTGTGTGTTAAAATGGGAGAATACTTTGAACTTTAAGAGTGATTAATTCACTTCTGAGACAGAGTAAATCACTTGGTTCAAAAAAATGGTGACGAACTTTGAGTCTATTTGCTCATCAAATATCCTGGCTGAAGGAACTGTTACATTGGAGTCACCAAGAGCTGCCGCTTTCGAAGTTTGCATTCTTTTATTTGTCGTCCTTAGCGAGTCCCTGTTATGGGCCAAGCAGTCACGGCCCTAACGCTTTCACACGGTTCACAGGCAAATCAGGGACGAACACCAGGACCCCGCACTTAACAACGGCGATCATGGAGGAACACACAGAACGTCACTGCTGCTTCGACAGCTGAGCACCCAGCTCCACTTGGAAGGAGCTAAGGAGCTCGAGCCTGAAGCCCGAGGCCCAAGTCCCGGGGACGAGGAGGCGGTGAAGGCAGGAGCCGCGAGCGCGGCGCAGGGGCGGCCGTCCGGGCGCGGGGCGGGGGGCACCCCCGGCCAGGAGACTCGCGGCAAAGGCCACTTGCAAAGGCCTCCCGTCCTGAAACACACGCCCTCCCGTGGGCAGGACGCGGACACGCTGCCCCGGGGCCGCATGGGCCAGCTCGCCGGGGCGGCGGGGAGGGCGCCAGGGGCCCGGGGGACGGCGTGGAGCGGCAGAGGCTGCGGTCCGACGGCGCGGGTGGCTGCCAGGGGCGGCTCCGTCAAAGGGGCCGACGGGCCTGCAACTCACCGGCCAGGGTCAGAGAAGGCGGGGACCGGCGACTCCCAGGCGCCCGACGCAGGCCACAGGAGCCGAGGAAACGCCGGGTAGCGCAGCCTTTCGAGACCGTTTGCTGCGATGAACGGTGTAGTCGGACAGCCTGGGTCCCACGGCGATGTCTGCCCGCCTCCAGCGTTGACTCTCGGAGCAGAGCCAGCATGTCCGCCCGGCAGCGGCCCCCCGGGCCCCGAGGCCTGAGTGAGAACCGGATGGACCGCGTCCTGCTCCCCCGGGGGCGGCGCCGGAACCACAGCCGTCTGCACCGGGTTGGCTCGTCACAGAACGCGGCCTGCACCCTCCCGTCTCCTGTGCCGTCCCCACGCCCCCCCCCCCGCCCCCCCCCCCCCAGCCCCCGCCCCTGCACAGCCACCGTGCGAGCGCCCTGTCCGCGCTGTGCGGCGGAAAGCGACTCCGCTCACCCCCCCGACCCGCCCACCCAGGGCCCTGGGCGCCTCCCAGCGCGGCTGGGGACGCCGAAGTCAGACGAGGGGGCGCTTTCCGACCTCGCCCCTGGGCGCCTCCGCCTCCTGTGAAGCGGGGGCACTGGCCTGGCCCGATGGCGAAGAGCGACTGGAAGTATCGAAGTGCTACACACGCAGGTGTTCAAGCATCTGGGTTACACGTGCAACCCATATATTTATGAATGACATCCATAAATCCCATAAGCCACACACATATGCATACACACGTGTATAATTTATGGATGTGATTCTCATGGTATAAACAGATTCGGGAACAGCGTGCAGCTCACTTGCAACGGCTCCACTGGAGCGAATCAGGGCTTCCAAGTCGCACACCTTCCAAGGTCCTTGGGCGACAGGCATGCTGGGTATTTTAAATACCTGAACTGGGGAGAGGGGGCCGCGATGGGACTGCGTTTCTGCCCAGTGACTCTTCTCTTATGCAACCAAGTTTTTTCCTGTTTAAGCTTATCCTGACCCAAGGACGTGCTCACTGATTTCAGGGCGCGGGGAAGGAGGGGGAGGGCTGCGAGGGCGGGCAATGGCGCGGTGCGGGCACGCGGCTCGGCTGCCTCCCTCCGGCGCCCCAACCCGGGCCGAACCCGCAACCCAGGCCTGCGCCCCGACCCGGCATCAAGCCCCCGCCTTCTGGTTCACAGCAGGACACTCCGGCCGAGCCACACCGGCCAGGAAACCAAAGCGTCTAACAGTGGACGGACCACGGCGGCCTGCGAGCGCGGCCGCGCCCCGAGCGCCCCAGGACCAGGCCGCGGCCCGGCCTCCCTGAGATCCCACCGCGCGTCCCAGAGACTCCGCCTCCGGCGCCTTCATTCCGTTCAACGACGAAGGGAGAACGGCTGCCTTTCGCTCCCAGACCCGGCGGCCAGCAGGGCCGCCTTCGCGCACAGAGACGCTGAGACAGGGCTCCAGGCCTCCGGGGGTGGACGGCCCCGGGGCGCGGCCTCGGGGATCCGCGCTTTTCCTGCCGAGTGACGCGGGCGATCGCCAGGGGCGAGACGGCCGCGCCGAGACCACCGCCTTCGCTCTTTTTCCTTGTGTTTTCCTGAGACGGACCGGCATTTGGAAATACACCCTCGTTCCCATGGCCGACGGCCCCTGATCACGTCTGTCTCCTCCCCCGTTTTTTGCTTCATTCGCTTGCGCTGGCTCAACAGGTGTGCTCATTAAAAGCTTTAATAATAGAACGAGAACAGAAAATACGGTTTACGGTACAACAAAATGTGTTTTTATAAAATATTACATGCCAGTAATGCATTCGAATAAATACTTCACATGCTGCACAAAGAACCTACAGGTCACATTTATTTCATAACAAAATGTCTAATTTAAAAAAAAAAAGTTTCTGAGGGCTTCTTACAATAAAATTTTCAAAACCAAAGAGCAAAAATACTAAATTTTTGCGGCGCAGGTCATCACAAACTCACTTATGCAGCAGGCAGATTGTGCGCTGGAAGCGGGATCTAAATTCAGCAGAAAAACTCAGGGGCTGGGTGGGCGCCCATTCCCGGTTAACGGAGGCTCCGCCCCCGCAGGGCCGCGGGGTCTCTGAGCGTCAAGTTTAGTTTGTAAACTCAGACACTTGCCCAAACGGCAGACGTACACACTTCCTTCCCTCAGCCAAGACTGCCCGCGTTTCAGTCCAGGACGCCAGTGTGTGTGCCGAACAGAGGAACAGCGGCGGGTTCCTGTCTCAAACCTGACCGCCCCTGTCGCCCTTCGGAGGCTGATTTCCTTGCATTTCCTTTCCCTTTGTTCCCCAGTGACCGAGGCCCTACGCTGGGGACGTTGGGAAGCGCACCGACAAAGCACTGGTCTTCGGGGACATTCAGTCACGCAAAACGCAGCAGGCGACCCCTGGGAGCCGCTGCCCGCCCGGGCCCGGGGCGCGCGGGACAGACGGACGCGCAGCCGCCGCCCGGGAGTCGCCGCCACCCTGGGGGGCAGGCGCCGCCGGCTCAGAAGGGCAGCGAGCGGGGCCTTTGTCCCCGCTCGCTCCCGGGGCGCAGAGACGCCGGGCTCCCCCGCCCCCTCGCCCCGGCTCTCGGAGCCCCGCCCCGCCCCCCGCGGTCCCTGCTCCCGCCTTCCCGTCCCGGTCCCAGTTCCCCGTCCGCTGTCCCCCCACCCCCGCCCCTCGGGACAGTCCCGGGGAGGGGCCGCAGCCGCAGAGAGGGCGCGCCCCCCTGATTTCCGCTCCCACCGCCGCCACCGCGCGCGGTTCTGCGAGATGAAGGTTAAAACGCCTGGGTGTGGGATATCAATTTCACACATGAGGGCCAGGCCAAAACATTTAATTTTGGGCTCTGTTATTAAATTTAAATTTATAGGCACACACGAAGCTTGAAACTTAAAAAATACCTACATGGTAAAAGAAGGCAGCTTTCATGGAAATGTTTACATCCTTTATTGCAAATGGTTTCTCCTTAAGAATTCAACTGCGCATTTTTGAGTCTGCAAGTCAGGCCCTGCCAAGCCCCCTGCCACGTATGACCCACAACCCTTTAAAAATGTTAACTCGAAGAGAAACAGAAAGGTTCCATGAATTTAATCTTCCAATGTCCTCAGAGAGAGTTATCAGAGGCGTCCTCCAGAGACCACGGCGCAGCCGGCCAGTCCGCTGCCCCCCAAGGAGCGAGCCTCGGCCAGAGACGAGGGCCGTGGCCGTGGCCGGCGGGCGGCCCCTCCGCGCGCCCGCGCGCCCTTCTCCCGGGAGGGGCGGCCACCACACGGAGGGAGGGAGCCGGCGCTCATCGCCGCCGACCGCCGGGGTCCGCACAGGTTTGAAAAGCCTCGCGTCGGTCTGCAGCACCACCAGAGTCCCCGTGGAAAGGCGAGCCACCCTCCAAGCAGAGGACGCTAACAACGCCCAACTCGGTCCCTGGGGATGATCCGCAGCTCCGAGCCGTGCTTCAGGAAGACGTTTCCTGCGCAGACAGACGAAACATCGCGGCGGGCGTTAACAAGCGAGCCCCCGCCTCCCCGACCCTTCCAACCATCCGCACGCACAACCGACAAAGCGTCACGCAGGCAGGCCCCGCAGCGCCGACGACGTGGCCACGGCCCCGCCCACCCGCCCGGCCACACGCCTGCGAGCCGCGCGCAAGGGCGCCAGCCACAAACACGCCGCCGCGGCGCGCAGTGCACAGCGGCCTAACCGTGGACACCGCCGTAGGGCTCAGCAAGGTCCCCAAGGGCAGAAAAAACTCTTGACCCCCCCACGGGGCACAGGCTCAGAAACCCTGACTATGAGTCTGTGCCCCGTGACGTGCACCTTCCGACAACAGGGGACCGGGGACAGCCCACAGGAAGGGACATCAGCGCGACCTGAACATTTCTGGAGCCAGAAAACAAAACCTTTAACCTTCAGTTTAAAGGCATCGACAAAGGTAAAATGCCTCACGATTTTCAATGAGTAACCCTTTCAATTCAATGAAATTACATGCCTAAAACACTTGATGTAAGTTTAAAAAATTTAAAATTTTAAAATCACATTTTTTATAAGAAAGTTATAAGGAAAATATAACTTTTTATAAGAAAAAATAGTATCCACCGCTGTTCCCCTAGACACAGCCTTGCTGCGCCCGCTCCTGCAGCGGCTACTCCCTGAGCTCCCTGCCCCCGCCCCTGCCCCCGCCCCCGCCCCCGGCCCCCGCCCCCGGCCCGCACGCCGGAGACAGCCCCACTGGGACGCGCAGGCGAAGGCCGGCGCGCAAGCCCTCACCCGCCGCCGCCCCGGGAAGCGCCACCCAGCCCCCATGCAGCCCCCCCCGCGGGTCGGACACTCACCGGCAGTCTGCGCAGGGTTTATTCCTATTCCATCTAGGAAATAAATACAAAATCATCTGTTATTTCTAAAGCCGAAACGGTTCAACAGTAACAACAGACTGGCCAAGAACACGAAAAGACGTCGTCTCGGGTAACCGATCTGCTGACGCCTGTCACTGCCGCGCGCTCACACGCGCTGCGGGGTTAGACAGGGACACCTGCCAACACCACGCTCCCGGGAGGGTCTGCGCACCATGGAGAACACGCCGCGGCCGTGCCAGCGATCACCTACACGCTGCTCCGAGGGCCGCAAGGGCCCACGGCCTTCGAGGGGACGTTCACACAGCATCTCCGGACCGACAGCCTCCTCGAGAGCAGGCCAGCCCTCCTCGCAGTGGAGGGCGTGGAGGGCGGGTTGTCCCCACGGCAGGGAGCCGTGCTCCTGCGGGCACCCCCGCCCTCGCCGCCTGCACCCTGCCCCGGCCGCGGCGCTTCCCCACGGAGCCGGTGTCGCTGCCCTGCACCCGTGTCAGTGCTTTCAGATACGGCAGAACTGAAAGTCCGTGTCTCGCGGGGTGAAACGCTCCCCCGCCGCGAGCACAGACGGGACAGGCTTCAGGAGGACGCGCAGGGCCCAGCAAAGGCGCCCTCCTGCCCGGCTTCCCGACGGCCAACGCGCTGGTCAGCGTCACTTATTAAAAAGCACCTGCTGAGTACAAGTTAGTCTCAGTAATAACCCATCAAGAAGTGACAGGCTAGGATGTTACAAAATGCTACCCAGCACCAAGAGCATAAAGAACCTGAAAAGAGGCAGCTGCAGACAACAGCCGCGACTTGGCGTTTACAGCTACGTAGGTCCTTAACGCCGACAGGAATTTTCGGCTCTGTCACTAAGCCGACTTGAATGACTTCGAGGTCTCTTAAATGGTCTCTGCAGCCCTGACGTCATCGACGGTCTAAAATGAGCTCTTACCATTGGTGATAATTGCGCTTGTGGCCGCAGGGACTTTAAACTGAAGGGAGAGAAAGAAAAGAGATTTCACACAGTCGCACAGGCACGGTGACAGCCGGCGAGCGTCGCGGGGAGGGCGCGCGTGTGACTCTGAAATGGGACTTATCACCCCGAAAAAGTGCCGCTGTCGTTTGCTTTAAAAAAACAATACTGTTCCGTAAATACTACCTTTCCTTGTGTCCAGGATTGTGAAATGCACCTTTATTTTACTCACTGAAAAAACCCCAAAACCCCCACTAATGACGCATTCAGGACCCAAGCAACGCGCGCTTTCAGACTCCGGCTGCTCTCATCGCACAGAACCTGCCTGCACAGCAGAAGTCACCGCAGAACAGTTGCTTAGAGCCTTCCTACAATGTCCCCGCACACGAGTTCCAGCCAACGCCCCGCAATGTTGGCGGGAGGCCAGCGGGGCTCTGCCCCTCCGGGCCCCCCCTACCCCGTCCTCCTGGGCCGAGCAGCCCACTCAGGCCGTCCAGGCGACCGCGACGCTCGAGGGTGCACAGCGCGGCCACCGCGACAATCACAACACCGCCACACGGGGACGGTGACGGTCAGACTCCACGGTCTCCGTCCAGAGACGCTGCGTGAAGGGCTTTCTAAACCAGCGCCCGAGGCAGAGGACTCGGCAGGGGCCCCGGCAGGGGCCCCACAGCAAACCCTGCCCGGCGCCCTGCGGCCGCGCGTGGTCACTGCATCCACGGAGCCGCCGCTCCCCGGTTCACTCCGCCACCGGCCACTGCGCGCTTCCACGCTGCGCGCACGTTGCACGGGTGTCACTGTGGAGTTCTGCAGCCAAATCAGTTTGGAAAATACTAAGTTGTTGTCTTTTCCAAACCTTTTAATACGCTGCTGCTGCGTTTGATTTAACTCCCAGAAGAAGGCAGTGAGTGGAGTTGTTTCCCATCCTTCTTGGCCACTGATCCCAGTTTCCCACGGAATTGTTTTCTCTCTCTTTCGCGGCTCTAGGGCTCCAGGGAAAACGTGCTGAGAAACGCTGTTTGAGGTGCTCATCGCGGTCACACGTGCGCTCTGTGACCGCCTCCTCGCCGGGGAGAAAACTGAAAGCTCATTTTATAAACCAAAGAATTCCACTTTGAAATGACGAATTATGCAGAAGAACAATTGCTGGTTAGAGGACTACGTACCTAAGAAACACTTACTGTCTATACGGTACGTTCTTAGTTGTAAATGTCCTTTTAGAGATTCAAGGATTTTAATCTTAATTTAAAATAACTTTGAAAGTCATTTGGAGATTGTTATACTTACTAAAACTTCGGTCAAACACCCAAATCAGTCACAGGACAACGCCCTGTTCCAACGCCCGACCGGCACCAAGCGCCGAGGTGCTGCCGGCGCGGCTCGGTCTGGCCTGGCCGGAGGTGAGCCCGGCATGGTTGCTAAACGCCGAAGGCAGGCGCTGCCCGCGCCCTCCCTCCTCCGGGGCAGAGGCGGCACCCGGCTGAGGCCTGAGCGGGCGCCGTGGGCACACCCACGGCCTGCTGCTTCGGCCCCTCACGGGGCCTGTCCTGCCTCCGATGCCGCGGGTCTCGGTCCCCGAGAGGACAGGCGACAGCTGGCGGCTCGGTGAGGCTGCCCGCCGTGCGCTGGGGGATTTCATCGCTGTTTCCATTGAGGCCTTCGCGAGGGATTTAAATCCGTGGACTCGGGCTGCACAGGGCACCTCGGGCTCCGTGGGAGCCTCGATCGGGCGGCCTGGCAAAGGGCTGGCCACCGCTGTGGGTCCAGCCGCGCAGAGCCTGGCCCGCCTGCTCCCGCCCCGCCCGCCGCGAGGGGCCCACTGGGCAGCCCGCCTCTGCCTTACAAACGACGCCGTGGACCGTGGGCTGATCCTAGTGTGGAAAACCGCCATCACCTTCGTAAATGGCTACTGTGTTACACAGGCAATAAAGAATTACTAAATGTTACTTATTACTGCAAATAAAGCATGTTACTTATAAATACAGCGCTACACAAATTAGAATCGGCTTCGTTCCAGAGCAGGGCTACTTCTTGCAAGGGATCTGCGCAGCAAAAAGCGATGATGCCACGTTCGGATTAGTTTCCCATCTCCCCTCACCCGTTCCTTCTGCAGGAGGAACAGATGGAAACGGCCAGCGAACCCCGCCCGCCGCCGGTGGGACTGTGCGGCAGGCACACGACACCCGGCCCTGCCCAGGGCTTCCCAGGGGCTGTGAGCGCCGGTCCGTTGCTCATTTTCCGTTAATCACTCAAACAGAGGATTATGGGTTAGGCTGTTCTCTTAGTTCACTGCAGGTGTCCTCCCTTGACTGCAGACGTCGCTGAGGACTCCGAACCCCGCGTTTGGGTGTGGGCGCCCCTGGGCCAGCGCAGCGCTTTGCGTTCAGCGCGTCTGTCAAGGCGACTCTGTTCTCGCTCAGAATCGCGTCACCGGGCACACGGAGCGGCTGTCACGCACGTGCCGACTCACGCGCTAGGGAATCTGAGGAACAGAGAAACCGAGGCTCGCCTACGTCACGCAGACGGTGAGCGGCGTTCACAAAGGGGACCTGACGTCCCCGGCACAGGTGGGCGCCCCTTCTACCCCAGTGGCTCTTCCGAGTGTCACGTCCAAAGAGGGGCTCTACAGATGCTCCTGAGGATGGTTTTGAATGAATGGGTAATTTTTATTTCTTCAAAACAGAAAAACAAAATATTTTTAAAAACTAGATGCTTTTAAAAACAAATGTTACGGAGTCCACATCGACAAAAAATTGGAAAAATGACAGCTATTTAAAAAATTATAATCCTAGAATCAAAAGTAGTAAAAATATGAGTAGACTGTAGTGATGCATCACTATTTTAAAAAGTTTACATATCATCAAACCTTTTCAAGTTCAATAAAAATTTTCCTTGTCATTTTCAATGGTTCCGCTGAATAGATGTGTCAGTTTGTTGAACGCATTCTTAAGTGAGTCTGAACTTCCTTTCTACTTGTATCTGTAAGTGAGCGGAACTTTTAAAAGACGGTTACTGATGTTAGAGACAGAGGGAGGGAGGGAGAGAGGCTGCCACGTTCCGCCCATTCACGTTCACGCACTCACTGGGTGCCTCCTGCATGAGGCCTGGCGGGGTCGGCCAGCGACCCGGGACCGGGAGGGCACTAGCCGCCAAGCCGATGGCCAGGCGGCACGGGACTTTCTGAGAGCAGTGACCCAGTACAGGCCGCACGGCTGCGGCGGGTCACAAGCGCGCCTGGAACTGAAAGGCTGCGACCCTCGCCCGAACGTGGCCGCGGCCCCGCACTCACCTCCTCTGCTGCGAACTTGAGGACGGCCGTAAAGGGGGTGCTTTCCGGGACGCTGAGTCTGCAAGGAGTTAAAAAAAGTTTAAGAAGGTGATTTTTTTAAAAGTCCTTTTGTTCCCCATATCGGCTACTGTAGCAGACCTACAGAAACCTGTCTTATAGTCTGAACGTTGTGCATTTTGACTGCACACTGCACTCGTTACCTCTAAAAAAATTAAAATTGTCATATTCCTGAGGTTAAACGAATCACTATTAAAGACAGAAAACATTGTTTTTCAAGCAGCAGAGACTTACGAGCTGCCACTCCCTTTGCAGCGTCTCTGCTTGGCCCCCTGCGCGACTGCTGGCTTCCGGCCCGGCCCCCTACCACCGCGCTGCGCCATCGGGGGAGGGGACAGAACACACAGGATTCTAACAGGAGCCGCTGGTTTAAAAATTTCCTAGGAAGTCAGCAATGGGATAGTGTATAAAGCAAGGAGCAGCGCTCACTGCAAGTGTTTCTGCATTAACCTTACAGTGCAGATCCTGAGATTCTTCCTCAAAAGGGCAACATCGAACGTCTAACGGTTTCAATTCACTTTTTCAATGGAGACTGGCAATGCCTTCCTAACATGTAACTAGATGTTCCTCGGGAAACCACAGAAGCACAAGAGGAACTCGCTGGACAAGCACAACCACCCCCCGAGGAGCGTTCCATTACTGAAGGGGGCGCTGGGGAGCGCGCGCCGGCACGCCCCGCCCCCGCCCGGCGCGGGAGCCAGGGACTCGGAGACCCGCCGGCTTCAGCGTCAGCGCGGGAAGAGGGGGCTGCGGGCTGGGAGTGCGGGTGGCCCGAGGCCGGGACGGAGGAGGCGGGAAGTCAGACCGGAGGGGCCGAGGGTGTTTTTAACTCACCCTTTACTTAAAGGAGAATGTGTGGTCGCAGCACTTCCCTGACCCGGCAGCACTACCCGCAGCGACCGCCCACAAAAATGAAGCACTGAGAACCCCTCCCCAGAATCCAGCTAGTGGCCATGCTGGAAACTCCAAGAAGTCTCTCCGCCAGAGTAAGTTCACGCCCTGGGCAGGTGAAAAGTGCCATCACACGCTCACAGCACGGTCCCCGCAAACCTCAAGAGCCGCTTTCACCGGCCCCCACGCCCTCGCGCCTACTCATTCACCGTGAGCAGGACGGGACCCGACCGCCCCACGCACAGGCACGCGCGCCACGCGCGTTTCACACACGCACTAACAGGCGGGACGCGCACGAAAGCCACCGCTTGCCGGCACCGACGGAAGCTGCGGCAGGCCCGCCCCCGGGGTGGATGAGGACGCTGGCCTCTTCCCCTCCATCCTCTCGTTTCTTCTAAAGCAAATCTACCCGTCAATGAGAACAGTCCAACGTGAAGGGAAACATCAGACGGCGAAGCGACTCCCCACGCTCGGCTGTCGTCGCGAGGAGGCCGAGGCGCCCGGATCGGCGCGGTGCGCCTTCCCTCCGGGTCCCCCACGCTTCCCGCTCGACAAGACGGCGGACAGAAGTGACGGGCTGACAGAGACAGCAGCAGCTTTACGGACGCGGCGGGAAGACGAGAGGAACTTCCTCTGATGGCTTGAAAGACACAGGGCAGGAACTGCAGAAGAGTGAAGTTAAAAATCCTTTCAGAGAATGAAGCAAGCAAGCAAACAAGCAAACGTGGGAAATGCGGCCGAGCGATGGCTGCCACTGAGCCTGGTGGCCAGGTTTGCGTAAAGCCCAGCAGCCAAACCGTGCCGTCTTCTCTGGGTGCAGCCGGGCCTGTGTGGGGAACCCGGGGCGCAGCTCGGGGCTGGTGTTTCCCCCAGTGCTCGGGGCGCAATGGACCGGGGTGGGGGGCCGGGTTCCACAGTTGAGGGTGTTTGCCAGAGTGACTTCCAGATGGGCCGCGACCTGGAAGCTGGGGAAGAAAGACAGACGGTGGGCACAGCAGGGGGGAGGGGGAAACTTTAAAACCCATCATCAATGCATTAAAAGAAACATTTTCAAAGAAGAAATACTGGAGTAAACCAGCTGTAAGAAGAGGATGTGGCTGTCCACAAGTGACATGTTACAGGTGGAGCGATTCACGTAGAGACAAATGTATCAAGACAGGGAAAGGCGAGGGGGCCGCCCAGGTCGCAGAGCAAAGTCACTGAGACCGACAACAGCTGTTACGGTCAACAGTTCGAATGGGGGGGGGCACGGCGCTACTTACTTATTAACTCATCACTATTTATTACGCACAAAATCCTACTGCAGAGCCGTCCTCAGCTACATCGCGTACGCCTCCGCGCTGCAACGCCCTGTAACGGCCCAGGTGGCGCATCCAGGTGAGGAGGTCCAGGCTAGACCCTCGCTCGGGGCTCAAGGACAAGAAAAGGCCCCGCACGAATAAACTGCCCTGTTTCCGCGCATTTCTCCTTCCCAGATACGATACAAGGCTGAGTTCGCACACACAAGCATCAGACACCTGGCAGTTACTAAACGTCCAAGTTAACTTGGCACCCGGGACGGGACGTCTCTTCTTCCTTCCTCCAACAGCTGTTCGGTGGGGAAAGGCCTTTGTAACCGCGCGCAGACAGGGGCTGCTAAAGGATCCCAACAGTCATTCTCAGAGCCCGGTCCACCGCCCGCCCGGGCCGCTCCCATAACCCCCCAGCGAGTCAGCTCCGAGCGGAGGTCCCGCGCCCCGGTGCCCGGTGCCCCGTGCCCCCGCGCCTGGTCGGGACCTGCGCTCACAGCCGGGTGGGCCGCGGAGGCTCCCGGGGGCGCGGGGACACAAGGGTGCGGGCTGCCGGGGTGGGAGTTGCTTGGAGCGCCGGGCGCCACCCGGCCGACCCGGCTCAGCAACCCGCGATCGAGATACTCACACTTTGTACGGCAACCGCGGGTCGGACGTCAACGTGATCTTAAAGGAAACCTTGGACCTGGGAAAGAAAGCGGGAGAGAGTTAATGTCGGCAGCGGGACCGACCACCGGCGCGACTGCAGGCCAACACTTACATGGTGCAGCCGGTCTGGACAGAGCCGCCACCTTTCCCCCGGAGCCGCACTTCCGCTTCCGCCGCGGGGCCGGAAGTCCCTTTGCACTCAGGTCCACGTCTCCTTGCACGCTGGGGGCCTCTGAAGTTGCTGCTGTCCAAGGCACTGCCTGAAAAACCGGCCTCGGATACTCGTCTAGGCGGAGACTCCGAGTTACAAATACCTACTGACTTTGCATTTACATTTCTGAGAAGAATATATGGGTTGTATGGAGTTAGTATTTTTCTACATGCAGTTATTCGCTGCCGTATTTCTGTCAGGCACCGCAAACGTGAATAAGGTAGGAAGACTGTAGGACCCAGCCAGCGGTTTGGGGAGCAAGTCTGTGCGCATCACGCCTGGGTGAAGAGCAGAGGCGTGGCGAGGGGCGCGGCTAGAGGCGTGGCGAGGGCGTGGCTAGGGCGCTCCGGAGGTTGCTACGACAACCTGGACCGGAAGAGCTCAGGAAACTGGAATAGGCACCTGGCTTTTGTATTAGCTGTGATTTTCCACTGCTGTTGCAAGAATTTTTATTTATTGATTTTTTTTAAAGAGAGAAACATCGACTAATGGTTCCACTTATTCATTCATTCACTGGTTGACTGGTTGCTTCCCATACTGATGTATGTGCCCTGGCCGGGGACGAACCCGGAGCCCGGTGCACCTGTTCTACCCTGTAAACAACTGAGCTACCTGGTCAGGGACTCACAAGTATTTTTAAAACACGCAGTACCTGACCATGTAGTCACCAGCCTCTTGTCCCTGAGCTTGTCAAATTAAAAATGACAACAGCCCACACAGCAATAGCTGAACAGCGTGAATGAATCTGAATTATACCTATTTTTTCACTTTTTGTCAGATGGGTAAAAAGGATAGCATATTTCTTGGTGTGCCACCAAATTTTAGTGATTATGTGTTTTTAGGAATTAGCGTATGGGTGCCATGAGATGAAAAACGTTGAAAATCGCTGGTATTGGTATCCTTTGGCTTTTCCAGGAGCCCGATCCTGCTAATATCCGTGAGACCTCTCATACTCTTTTTCCTTTCACACTTCACTCTGCAATGCTGACGTCTGTTTAATTTCCACAGACAGGGGAGTTGTCAGGTCGATGAGAAAGACAAGATCCCTGCACTTGGCAACTTGAAGTCCCGCTGGGAAGAGCAGCACGTTCGCAGGGCTGCTAGGAGGGACCCAGGGCACTCGGCTGCTGAGGACGAGCCATGTTTGTTCAGCGTAACCACACACGTGTAACGCTTTCCACGCGCTGAGCCCTGAAGCCAGAAGCCGGGGTGGCCGGGCGGGTCAGAAAGGTCAGGGCCAGCCCTCGAGAATCCGTCGGGGGGTCCTGTATAGCGAGGGAAGAAGACCTCTGTCTTCCAAATTTTATCACAAATCCAAGCATCTGTATTTGGGAAATAAACATGCCTCTCACAATGTCTGCAATGCTCTTTTTAAGAAACTTCGGAAACAGGGAGGCGTTAAAATAGTGGGGAGAAAGATGGAGTTACTCTTTAGAGCATGACGTGAGATTTTTTTCTTGACATAACCTCTCTCCCCATTGCTTGTTTATTTTATACCTGGAAGTTTTTATCCTGTGAACTCCTTTGCCCATTCCCTCAACCACTAATAATATCTATGAGCTTGTTTTTATTTTAAGATTCCACATGCAAGCGGATCATACCATGTGTGTCTTTCTCTGACTTATTTCACTCAGTATGGTTCCCCCGGTTCCTCCATATTGTCGCACATGGATTTCATCCTCTTTTTATGACTGAATGATATTTCTGTGTGTATGTGTGTGCGCGTGTGTGCAGAACAGATTGTCTTTAGTGGACATTAGGTGACGGGTGTCTAAGAGAGGAACAGGGAAGGAACTGCAACGGGAATTTCACCTTGGCCATAATTTTGCAGCGAACTCCTCGTCCAGCCGCGTGGCCCCTTGGAGACCGCGCTGATTCTGACTGTGGGAAAGGAAGCCTCCAGCGTTCCCAGGACAGTCCTCACCTTCTCATTTAAAAATGTAATTCTGGCCTCGCGTAGAAGGAGACGGAGACAAATGCGGGTTGATCGATCCGGGGACCAGCGTTACGGCATTCATGCCGCTGCGGTGCGGGGAAGGCGAGTGTGTGTGCCTGCGGTCACGCGCAGAGATGACAGCACGCGCTGGCGGTCGCGGTTTCTAAGACCTCACTCCCTCCCGCTCGCTCCGCCACCCGCCAGGGGAGTTCGAGGGGAGGTCACAGGTCCGCAGCCACTGCCAGGTCTCACACGCCCCTGCCCCCGCCAGCCGGGCCAGCCGGCACTTGTTTATATTTTTAAACAGGTAACATTCGCATCTTACCTTAATAGTTTGTTTCTGCTCCTGTATAAAAAGATATGGCAAATCCTAAACAGAAAAACAGAGCTCGGTCAGAGAGTTTGTAGTGTACGTGTAACACGCAGAGAAAACAGGATCCAACCTCCGGCTGTGTTCCCACCTGGGGCCTCTGCAGGAACCGTGTCAGTGTAACGCCTCGGATCAAAGCCCAAGGGGAAGCCTGGAGGTCCCAACAGACACTGAGAACCACCTGCTCCTGAACGTTCAGAATCTTCCCCACCTCGATCCCCTACTCTCCTCCCCACGTTTGTCTCCCTAGTCATTGCATAATTTCTGGAGCCTTCTGAGTTTTATATTTCTTGCAACAAGAAGCTCTAAGTGGGTTCGTTTACACTCAATGGTTTAGTCCTTTTAAGTTAGCTAAGGCATTTCGCAGAATTTGGCAAATGTAACAAAAGAAGGACCTTATTATTTACTGAAAAGTTAAAGCGCTAAAGTATATTTACTGACTATAAACAAAAGCGAAATCTGGATTCTAGGAGGTAATTGGCAAATGCAACATTTTAAGACAACAAACAGCATAAATAGCCTAATGTGCTTTGGAAGAGATCCAATTAGTATCACGTAGAGGCAGCAGTGCTTATGGAAGCGCACAGTGCCAACACATTAGAACTCGTTAAATGCCAGGGAAACATACCCGTGTCCTGTTTGCAAGAAAATACAAAATTTCCATTATTAGAAAATAATGGAGGGAAATTACATTTATACAAGCACAAAAATGGCTTGCTTACCGTTATAAAAATTCTTACCGGCTACTATTTTTCATTTTTCAGTTACATTCGTATTCCGTGTTATTCTGCGTTAGTTGCAGGTGCCTAGCGAAGCGGTGAGACATTCCTGTGCTTTCAGGGGGCCTCCTCGCCCACGCTTCAAGCCCCGCCTAGCCCCGTGCCCCCCACGCAGCCGCCACAGCGTCGCCTGCGGGCGCCCCGCCCCCCTCGACTGGCGTCCCCGCCGCCCTTCTCTGGCTGCCGACCGGTACACATCCCGACCCCGTCCGTCACCTTTCCACACTGCGCCCCCCACCCCTCCCCTCTGACAGCTGCCGGTCCGTTCTGCGTATCGATGTGTCTGCTTCTATTTGTTTGTGTATTTTGTTCTTTGGATTCCACGTAAAACTTAAATTGTATGTCGTACCAGTTTTTTTTTCTGTAGCCGGCTTTAAATAAAATAGAAAACATGTCAGATTTAGATGCAAACAAAATTTCTCTTCCAAACCTTTTCCCTGTAATTTGACTGTGTTTACGACGGATTAAAAATCACCAGAGAAATGGTGTAATCCTGGAAAGTTTACGCTGGGATATACATATACAAGGATCCCATACTCCGCGCACTCCATTTTGGAAACAAATTGTGCCTGACCAGTTAATAATAAGTGCCTTTCAAGCCTTAAGAAACACATCGCCAAAGGCCGTCACCTCTGCAGACGATGTATCCTCTGACCGATGGGGCAAAGCGCGTGGAACTTTGTTCTGGAAGTGACTCGCCGTCCTGGGGCCATTAAGAACGTCAGCGGTTCGCGGGAAGAAGTCAAAACGTCGACAGTAACAGGAGTTCGAAGGGAGCTTTTCCCAGCCCTCGTGGATGACTTTGAGGGGCTCCAGGCTTCGGCGGAGGAAGCGATGGCCCATCTGGTGGCAGCTGCAAGAGAATTAGGATTAGAAACGGCACCCATGGGTGAGACTGAACCGCTGCGATCTCACGGTGGAACTTTAATGGAGAACGAATTGCTTCTTATAAAGAAGCAAAGAGGCTTTTTTTTTTTTTTTTTTTTTTTTGGATCAAAGCTACTCCCGGGGAAGATCTTGTGAAGATTATTGAAACGACAGTGAAGGACTTAGAACACTGCACACACTCAGTTGGTCAACAGCAGCAGGTGTGGAAGAGTTGGCTGCAGGTTTGGAAGCAGCTCTCCTGTGGGCGAAATGCGACCAGGCAGCATCACAGGCTCCAGAAACTGCTGGAGAAGGGGACCTGTCAGAAGATGCGGCGAAATCACAAGACCGTCACTGAAACACGATGTCAGAACATATGACAAATTATAAACGAAAGTTATTTCCGAACCTCAACATTTGTGGAAAATGGCTAAGAAATATTACAGAGGCAGAGGGAGACACTATTACTGGTCATTTTCTTGTCTTCCTTTCTGAACCAGTTAGAAAATATGACTAAAACATATGGTGCATGGTGCATAGTCATTTCTGTCACTAAAGAACTGCCCTCGGTGCATGTTTCTTTCCTTCGGAGGCAGATGGACTTCCTAACATTCAGTCACTCCAAGTGCACAGACCTTTCCCAAAGTCATGGGTCCCCCCCCACCCCCTCCCCGGGCGGCGCCTGAGCCGAGGACGGGCCTCGCATCCCTGCAACGTGCGGGAGCCGAGCGAGCAGGAGCGAGTTCCCTGCCGCGAAGCCAGGCTTCCAGGAGGAGCAGAGCGGGAGGCACTCGGCTGCACACCCAGGGCCCCTCCCAGATTCTCAGGCCGCCGCTGCGCGCGGGAGGCAGCCGGTCGGGTCCTCGCCGTCCCCACGGCGGCGCTGGAAGCAGCAGGAGGGCCTGCCGTGGGGCTCACCCTCCGCAGTGAAACACGGGGCTGCTCGCCCTTCTGCGCGGCTACCCCTCCCCGCGCCCAGCGTCAGGAGGCACCGCGGTCTTCAGCAACCGGCCTGTTTAACGAGGAGTCCCTGTGTTTACAGGAGTTGGGGGGTGGGGGGCGAGAAAGCCGCCTGCACAGGATGGAACTGTTTAAAATGATGGGACATTGTTTCAAGGCTGAAATGATAGCCTGGGCCGGATCACGAAGACGCCCCAGAGCCCCCCACGCGCCTCGCCGCGAATGCAGGTCATGTC